CACCACACTGGACACACACCAGCAGCCAGATAAACCCAGGGTGGATATCCTGGGCACACACTGGGCACACACCAGCAGCCAGGCTGTCCTGTGCTGGGGAAGGCATCCTCAGCCCATGCTGCTGGAGGCAGCCCTTCACAGGGACAGTGCTTGGTGCTTGCTAAATCTCTGCCCCCTCAGAGAACAGTSCTCCTGCAGTAATCAGTAACATTTAGAAATTTAACCCGCATGTTCACTGAAGGGTCTTGGGCACAGTGTTTAGGTAAGTGGTCTTTTGGAGCAGCCTGTCAGATGGGAGCTGCACACGTCCATGTGCACAGGGCACCAGTGCAGGCAGTGGGAACATTTGCAAATGCAGAGCAGGCTGTTGTCAGGAACAGCTTGCTGCTGGAGCTGTCCCTGCTGCCATCCACACTGCAGGAGGCTGCTGGAGCTGTCCCTGCTGCCATCCACACTGCAGGAGGCTGCTGGAGCTGTCCCTGCTGCCATCCACACTGCAGGAGGCTGCTGGGTCCAGGCATGTGCCCAAATTTTACCAAACCTGCTGGCAGCAACAGCCATTGCTGGCTGGAGCAGAAGGATGACAGAGCAATGAGTAAAGCTCTGTGCTTGGGAAGGGCTGCACGTGTCCCATCTCTCTGGGTACCTTTGTTGTAGAGGGCTCCATCAAAGTAATAACTTCCTGTGTAGTATCCTGTTGCATGCTCTATCAGATGGCGTGCCCACGTGTTCCCAGCCCCAGGAAAGCTTGACAAAGCAACAAACACTTTGGATTTGGTGGTTAAGAATTTCCTGTCCGTGCAGCGGGTGTCTGTGAATAAAGAAGRTATTTCATTGTTAGTGTTGTGGCTTTTTAATAATTCCATTCCAATAAACCCTTGATTACAGGGTTTATTACTTTCTTCCTCTCTCTTACAAATACAGGATATCAATTTGGTCTGGTTGTGACTCAGCTACTTCCTAAAATTAATGCAGCCATATGAGGCCAAAGAGATYATCCTGGAGTTTTCTGCTGCTTTTGTGTTAGGCAATGTTGTTTTCATAAAAGCTGCAACAAACCATTGTACTTGCCAGCAAGTTGTCTTAAAAACCTGTTGAAGCCTGTTTGTTACCAGCTGTTTGCCTGTCAGATTGGCTCTCCAGTGGAACTSTAAATGTGACACTACACCTGGAAATCAGGAGTTTTTTAACACCAGAAAAACCCCTTCTACTGAAATGAGCCACCTTTAGTTTAACATCTGCACTGCTGTTCTGTGGGAGRTAAAGCAAGCCTTTTCACTTCTGTCAAACCTTACAGTTTGGAAAAGGGTTCAGGCTGCAGGGCAATGACCAGGGAGGWGTCTGAATTAGTGACATGCACTAGCCTTGTGTCACACTCTGATTGATCAAACAGAGCCATAGACACCATCTACGGGGATGTACAGATGTGTTGGATAAGAGGGTTTGTGGGCGGTGACCCTGCACAGCAAACAGCCAATGGGTGCTTAGCCTGGGAAAATTGAAAGTAGAAAAGGCACAGCTTTTTGAGAGAAAAGGATTTCTTTGAACCAGYTAGGAGAGRTCTGTGTCCTCTGTTCCCTCCCTTGTCACTCCACTTCTCTCGGAAAGCCAAGGCTGTAGTGACCCCTCCAGCCATGGAGTCAGACACCTGGTTCCRTATGTGCTTCTGCAAAACCTCATTTCCCAGTGTGCCAATGGAAGCAAGGACRGGATAAGAACTAATCTTGGCCCTATGTGATGATTCATCAAGAAGTCAGGAAATCAATTGTCGGTTACTCTCTTCATTCTTCAGAGCAAGATCTAGATGAAGCCATGGCTAGAAAGTGCTCGCACAGCCCAGAGAAAGCACTGCTCTCCACGGACCTGGGGAGTACTAGCAATTTCATGGAAACAAGCATCCTTGCATGAATTTCTTTTATGCTGKTGTCTGCAGTCTACCTCTGAACTGGGTGATGAAGGAAAAAAAGAAAAGGGTGTTGGGGAAAAGAAAGACCACTACCAATCCAGAAAAGCATTCAATTTGTTAATTTTAAGGTTGGGAGAAGTTTCATTGAACTCTGTGCAAATCATTGTATAGATAAAGTTGCCAGAACCACCTAAATGGTTTTCTAGATTGGAGTCTTAGTCTCTGCCTTTGGTTCTGGCCTYCAGCATGTATGCAGATGGATCTTTTAGAGGAAGATGACTGGAGCAGATTTAGGGTCTGCAGAGCTGCCTCGGTGGCTGCCTRATATCGGGGCTGCATGGTGGAGAAATGGCTTCCTAAGCTCTCCATCATTCTTTCCATCATTTCATAATGATGTTTTTCTGTGTTGGAGGGAGACTGTGCCATGCAATGAGAGAATGGAAAGATGCATCCTCATGAGCAAAATGGCAAGGGGGGAATTTAGAGAARGACTGTTTCCTAAATTCCTGCCTGTGTGGTGATAGCCTCTACCACGGCTCAGACTGCTGTAAGTGAGATCACTTTTACCTGTGCAGAGGGGCACAGAGCCAGCAGTGCTGCCAGC